AGCTAAGATTTATTTAATGTAGCATTAATTATAATAAAAATCTGGAATAACCCAAATATCTCAAACACATGGTAAGTGGAGTATGTGAAGGGATATATCACAGCCTTTAAAATATTTACAAATAAAATTTAATGACTTGGAATTTTATGATAAGTACCAAAAAAATTGTATTCAATAGAGACAAAAAACAAACAAACAAAAAAAGTCTGCTTGGCGCCCCCCTATGTCAGAACTTCCTGTAAGAGTTCGAAGAAACATCTTCATATCAGCACTAACACTCCAGCTTCCTTGGTTTTCCCAGGAGTTTGGGACAAAGGACATTCTTAGTCATCTTTTGAGTTATTTTTTATTACGGTTGTATTCTCTCAGACTTTTCTTACAATAAAGATTGAGCACTGGGAACAACACATCCAGTGCTTGACAAAGAAACAGAGGAACAACAGGTAAAAAATGGAGTCTGTGCCCAGGGCCTCTGGGGAGTAAATATGGGGTGGGACCAAGCCCCAAACAAAGTCTGAGTATACTGAGAGCATGCCAGATCCATTCCTGATTGGAATTCCTGAATTTAATTGAAACTAAAGCAGTCTCTAGGCTAAGTTTTTCCATCCACAAGGTAGTAATGGGAATATTCTCATCAGAATGCCCCTCGCATCTGGAAATTTAAGAATCAATCAGATTGATAGAAGCACTTCGTTAGAGGAAAATCACATCCACATTCAGGGAACAATAACCCAAGAGTATGGTCCCAGGGAGGCTTTCTATCATTTCGAATAAACATTTATTGAATAACCATAGGAGTCTTGCATTGCAGTAAGTGCCAACCGCAGTCGGACCTTGTCTTCTAGGGCTTGAAATTGTGTGCTTTACAAACTCTAAGGGTGCAGATGTTTGCACTTTTCATACTTGTTTCAAAGGCTATGGGCATTATCTAGCCTCAGGTCTTGCAGACCTGGAAAGGTAAATAAAGAACTTTGACAGTCTTTATTCCACATTCTGCTGCTGGGCTTCTGGTCACCTGCTGGCTCGTGCCCCACCTGCCCTGGCCTGATCAAAGCAGCAAAGCTGATGAAGAATGTGAGGAAATACCTGTGTTGGTGGGGTCCAGGGGAAGGGCATGCAGAGGTCAGTAAGGCAAGGCCTTTGGCTGCTTCTGGGAGGACTTGCCAGGATTCCCCACCAGTTTTTTGCTTCTCACACATTTTTCATGATCTTCTTTCCATTCCTTTCTGTGCACAGTTCAAGGGTAACTGCCCTCTGCTACTGTAGCCCAGTTTACCAGTGACCTTCATCTAGCAACCTCCACCGGGCCTCATCTTTCCCATCCTTTTTTTGAAACAGTCTTATCTTGAGAATTTTGGATGTTCTAAAGATAGGGTTTCTGGTAATCAAAAGACTGGTAATCTCCTAACTATGGTTAAGATTGTTTTTTTAATTTTTTTTTCTTTATTGATTTTAGAGAGAGAGGAAGGGAGAGGGAGAGAGATAGAAACATCAAGGAAAGAGAACATCAGTTGGCCACCTCCTGCATGCCCCCCACTAAGGATTGGGCCCACAACCTGGGCATGTACCCTGACCAGGAATTGAACCAGTGACCTCTTGGTGCGTGGGTCAGCACTCAACCACTGAGCCACACCAGCTGGGCAAGATTGATTTTAAAATAACTGGCCCAAGCTTGACTAGGTAAAATGGTGAATGATCTAAGATACAAAGATTGGTCTAAGAAATGTGTCATCAAACTGAAAATGTGGTAAGAGGGAAAATGTGACCAAGTAGTTTTCTGTGTTTTTTAATTTGCTTTGGGAATAGTATAATAAATGTGTCATTTTCTAAATGTGGATTATTTGTGGCCTATTTTAAATCCTGAGCCAGCTCCTAACAAGCAAGTTCCCAGTAGGATTCTGCTCAGACCTGGTAGATGCAGGAAATGCAGCCTCATTTTAAAAGCAGCTGACAGTATGCCCTGGCCGGTTTGGCTCAGCGGCTAGAGCGCCCGCCGCGGTCCAGAGAGACCCGGGTTCGGTTCCCGCTAAGGGCATGTACCTTGGTTGCAGTTTGTGCCCGGCCCTGGTTGGTCGTGCGGGTGGCAGCCACTCGATGTGTCCCTTTCACATCGATGTTTCTCACTCACTCTCTCTTCCTCTCTCTCCCTCCCACTCTGTCTGTACAAAAAATGGAAAAATGTCCTCGGGTGAGGATAAAAAAAATAAATAAATAAAAGCAGCTGACAGTAAACATAATTTTTAAAGTTAAGTCAATGGTGAGAATTATCATTTTCTTAAACTAAATGTTTGTGCTCGAATCCCATGCATGAGCCTGGTTGTTTCTGAAGTCAGGCTATAAATGGGGATTTAAGTACCTTAATATTGACCTGCTCTCTTCACTGTAGAAACTAGGAGGCTGACCAACCCTCCTAGATTTTGTTAAAAATGTCTTTTTAAAAGTGCCTGCCCAAGCCCTGGCCGGTTTGGCTCAGCGGTTAGAGCGTCGGCCTGCGGTCCGGAGAGACCCGGGTTCGGTTCCCGCTAAGGGCGCGTACTTCGGTTGCAGTTAGTCCCCGGCCCTGGTTGGTTGTGCGGGTGGCAGCCACTCAATGTGTCCCTTTCACGTCGATGTTTCTCTCTCTCTCTCTCTTCCTCTCTCTCCCTTCCACTCTATCTGTACAAAAAATGGAAAAATGTCCTTGGGTGAGGATAAAAAAAAAAAAAAAAAGTGCCTGCCCAAATGTGTCATTGCCTCACCTCCAAAGCCCTGAGACGTCCACGTTCTTGTGGAGCAGGGAAGCCTGAAGGCCACATGGCTGAAGGCATTGCATTTCCCTAGTCTTGTAGGCTTTTGTCCCACGGCCATTAGACTCTCCAGGTGCGCCAGCATCAAAGCGGTAGGTGCTGGGTGCTCCTGATCAAGATGCTTCTGAAGGCACGTTCCCCCAGGTGCTGTTTGATGTGTTTGATCATGGAATGAAAGCCAAATAAAGGAATGAGAGGTCCTGTTTATTACCTTGTATTCAGTGCTGTTCCTTGAGGCGCTTCTACATCTTGGGAGTGGGAAAGACTGGGGCACCACCTGAGCAGAAGACATAAGTACCGACTTAGTCTGGGGTCCACAAGCTGTAGGCTTCAGAGAAAGGAATCTGTGCCTCTAAAGAACTGTATGGAGGAAAGTGACTGCCATTATGTCCTCTCCTGCTGGAGGCTCTTTCCCCATTGCTCTATACAGTTGAGTGTCTAAGACTGGAACTGAAGGGGCCCTGGTCTTAATGATATAGGTTCTGTCCTTTCACAGATGGGGATACTGAGGCTGAAGCTGAAAACAATTCAGTGACTGGCCCACCATTAGCAGCTTTTCAGTGGCAGAGCCAGGAATAGTTCCTTAAGGGTCATTCCTGACTGCAGCTTGGTGATGATGAAATGGGTAGGATGGACAAGTGGCAGAGGAGACTTTATTTAAAGTAATACATTGAGCCTCAAGTCAACAAGAAAAAGTCCCCAGCAGAACTAGGACAGCTTCTGCAACACAGCCCCCAGGGTGCATGAGCTTGTTAAATTGCAGAGGACTTTGCAGTCCCTTAGGATTTCACTGTCCTGCTTGTTTGGTAAAAAGCACAGGGAATGGGCCTGTTATAAAAACAGCGGGATAAGACTGCCCTCTAGTGGGCTGGTGGAGCCATTGGTCTAGCCACGTTCTCATCCACTTAAGTTCGGTGTTGCTTATGCTGTATCCACGTAGGGTCGTTTTTCGTTTTCTTTTTTTTTTTAATTTATTGATTTTAGAGAAGAAAGAAGGGGGGGGGACAGAGACAGAGACATTAATTTGTTGTTCCACTTATTTATGCATCCATTGATTGGTTCTTATATGTGCCCTGACTGGAACAGAAACCGCAACCTTAGCGAACCAGAGTGATGCTCTAACCAACTGAGCTACCCAGCCAGGGCCTAGAGTGGTTATTTTAATGGAAGGAATTGAAATTATATTATTTTTCAAGCACCCTGACCCTAGAGACTATCTTGACCTCTGAGCACTAGCCATAGGAGGTTTTGGTTTTGGTTTTGTTGGTTTTGTTTTTTGTTTTTTCCCCCCTCATGTTAGAGGTTATCTTACTTCCCTAACAAGATTTGGGTTCCTAAAAGCAAAGGTTATGTCTTATGTCTTTTCCTTCCATAGCTTCTACCCTATTGTCCACTTAGCTGGACATAAAATTAGAAGGTTCATTGGGATGGAAAGGAATTCTCCCCCACACCCTCAAAAAAAGAATCTCACTGCTTCTCATTTGCTTCTAAAACATTCTAATCTCATCTCTCTGATCGATAGTGGTTAAATCATCAGAATCCCTCAGAAAACTTTCAGAACTCAGTTTCCTGGGCCTCACTCCAGCCCTGCTGAATCAGTCTCTGTGGTTTGAGCCAGGAAATCTGCTTTACAAACTTCCCAAGTGGTTTTTGATGTGCGGCCAGGTTTGGCAGCCAACTGCTCTGAATCCCCATTTACAATTATTTCTTGTAGCTTTTCCCTCTGACAGCGTCTCCAAAGGTCTTCAGCCTGTGTCAGTTATTAAAATTAACCATTTTGAGATTCCTTCAGAAATATTTAGTATACTGTTTTAACTGCGGTACTGGGTGACATGAGAAGAGAGAAGGACCACAAGAGAGGGACCAAAGGCATTTGATTTGGTTGCCAGTGGCTCTGTGTTCATAGCAGAATATACTGAAACCAATACCTTTATGCTGACTGGGCAGGTTGTTGGTTTGTAGTTTATTTTTAATGTGTAGGCTGGATAGGGAGACAAAGGTTAGTTGAGTACTCATCTAGTTCTCAGGAGAATCCTAAGGTAGGTGGCATTGCCCCTTTTTATACAGATGGGAAAGTCGAGGCTTAGGAAAATTAGTAACTTGCCTAAAGTCACATAAATTGGTAACTGTCAGATTCCATATAGGTCTGATTTCCAAGACCAGCTTTGGAAAGGTAAGAGGACCAGAATGCCAACTTGTTTTTTATTCTGCCAGGCCAAGCGAGCAGTGCAGCGGGGAGCCACTGCAGTCATCTTTGATGTGTCTGAAAACCCAGAAGCTATCGACCAGGTAAACTCCTCAGGCATGCCAACACTGCGTTCTCCTGAGAGAAGCACTGCCTTTAGTTAGCTTGGCTTGTCACGGTCATGCCACCCTCATCTCAGGTCCTTTGCACTTGTCTGCTGGTGTTAGCTCTCCATGCTTGGACATCCTACTCCAAGGCAAGACTATTGAGAGGGGTTAAGAGTCAGGAAAGTTGAGGTTTGTGGGATATTTCCAAAGACCCTACTGGGCCTTCAGTCTGCCTGGTCCATCCTAGAACAAGAATCATCCTCAGCCTTGCCATCTGGGAGCTCCAAGTCTGTAATGCTGGAGGAGGTTGATTTCCAAAAGGGTATTTAGTATTGTTTTCTTCCAGACTTTCTTTTTCTCTCCTGCTTCTTAAAGTAAGCACATCTTCTAACCAGGAGCATCTCTTCTTCTTTAGCTAAACCAGGGCTCAGAAGACCCACTCAAGAGGCCAGTGGTGTATGTGAAGGGCGCAGATGCCATCAAGCTGATGAACATCGTCAACAAACAGAAAGTGGCTCGAGCAAGGATTCAACACCGTCCCCCTCGAGTGAGCCTCCACCCTGGTCAACCACACCCAGCCCCTTCTCTGATGCCCCCTGAGCCTTTATTCCCTTCAGGCTTTGGGCTTTTGTTCCTGTGTTCTTTCAGATAAAATGCTGATGCACCCCAGGTTCTGGTAGATTGAGGTCAGAGAAACAGCTGGAGGCCAGGGAGAGATTTCACCCATAATTCCTGTAGAGGGGATTTGAAAGTCCTTCCAGAAAAAAATGATTTGTGCCAAGATCTCTCTGGTCTCTTCTACCCGGTGTTCCCTCTTGGGAACCTCTTCTTTCTCTTCTGTCCCATTTGCCTCTGAAAGGCTAACTGAGGAGGATTGAAGGGAAGGAATGCCCAGCACTGGGCTTCCCATGTCTCCTCATTCCATGTGACCTAGTCTAGAGAAAAAAACCAGTGCTTCCTTCTTCCTGTAGGGTCACTTGTGTTATTAAAACACCCCAAGTGATACTTGATTCTGGAAAAGTTAGCTTTCAACTGGGACTGAAGTTCATGACTTTTAGATGGTTAATGAATAGTGTCTAAGGCTTCTCTTAAGCGTATTGGGAAACTGTTGACCATTAACTCTTGTCTGGCATCTTCTGCCCAAACCTGAGGCTGAATATTCTAGGAACCTGGGACAGGTGCCCCATATATGGCTTATTTCCTCTTCACAAATATTGGGTTATTCACATCTAGGATGAATCTTTTGCATGCACATAGTAACTGGATACCTATAGCATTCAATTAGCAAAACTCCCTTCCCGTTGACTAACAGCATGTCCTAGATGAGGTGACTTCAAGGTCTTAGAAGGCAGTGAGACATGAGGGAAAGGTAAGAACTAAAACTACAAGTTTGCAGAAGAGCTGACATGCTGGCTTCTTTTTAAAGGAAAAAAGAGTGCTTTGGTAAATATGACTCATTGTAGTGGAAGCTGATATTTGTGGAAGCAGCATACAATTTTCTGAGTTGTTGTAAACCATTAATTACATAGTTAGTAATCACTGTTCCCTCAAAACATGACACTCATTCCTTTGTCCCAAAAATGTGATATTTGTGTTTATTTGGAAAGGCCTCTCCTACCAGTTATAGTGAAATTTGCACTATTCCATAGGGAGCTAGGCTTTACGAACTGCGTTCTCTCGGCTATTAGGCAGCCTGGCTGAGACCGCTGCCTGCCTCCCCCTGGCCACATTGGAGCTTACTACCTGGGCCTGAATAGCACATCATGTGCGTGTTAGCAGAGCCCCCAGATGTTCCCTGCAGATGAGGGAGAGTGCACCACAATTGCCCATCCTTACCCCGACCTGGACCAGCATAGCCCCTATGCCGATCCTTGGGCTGAAGAGAATTGTGAGTCATTGTGTCTGTGTTCTGTTCCAGCAACCCACGGAATACTTTGACATGGGGATTTTCCTGGCTTTCTTTGTCGTGGTCTCCTTGGTCTGCCTCATCCTCCTTGTCAAAATCAAGCTAAAACAGCGACGCAGTCAGGTAATACCTCAGAGCAGCCCGTGAATGTCGATGCCAGCTGCCCTGCTGCTGGTGAAAAATCAGACTGTTCCTAGCAGCCTAGAAACAGAAAGATGGAGAAAAACTAAAGCAACACTTATAGCACTATGTCTCGTTTGTTTTAAAAGGTCCGGTACTACAAAGACCGAGCATTGGGGGTATTGCCAGCCAGGCATTTTTCCAAAGAAATGTTTAAATGTTAATGTGGAATCTTAGAGCCTTGATCTGGGGACCAGCAGCATCAGTATCACCTGGGAACTTGGTAGATGTGCAGAATCTCAAGCCCTGCCCCAAACTTGTTAAATCTAAATCTGCATCTACCTTGCTTTCCAGGCGATTCTCAGTAAACTGAGTAGGCATTCTAGTGCCCCAGCTGGCACATCACAGTTTAGGAAGGATTTGGGAGTGGAAAGTGATGAGAGGATAAGCAGGAATCTAGACTCTCAAATGGGAAGTGGTATGCTGCTGTCTCAGAGAGCGATGGTGGACCTTGGCAGGCAATCTGTTGAGAGGAGAATTGAGTGGCCATCCCCAACAGAACAGTGGCTGGTGTTTGTGGAGCACATCTGATTTGCCAAGCGTTGAGCCCTCAAATGCACTGTCTCATTTGCCCTCAGAACTTTCCTTTGGGTAAAGAGGAGGAACTCTTGGCATAGAGCAGGGTCTTGCAGAGTTGCCCAAGTAATTGAAGTAGACCTCTGCTGGTCCTGCCACTGGGAATAGCCTGGGTTGATGTCGTGGATGCACAAGAATCTGGCACAACTGTGCTGTGGCAGACTGAATTTTTAGTGATTTCCCAAAAGACTGCCCTGGCCTGATAGAAACTAGCACTTGCCTGTCCTGATTGATCAAGTGCCGTCCATGGCCCTGGGGGTGACTACCACTGTTAATATGTGCCAGACCCTAACACGGACCACATTCTGCCATGTAGAATTCCATGAACAGGCTAGCTGTGCAGGCTCTGGAGAAGATGGAAACCAGAAAGTTCAACTCCAAGAACAAGGGGCGCCGGGAAGGGAGCTGCGGGGCCCTGGACACACTCAGCAGCAGCTCCACGTCTGACTGTGCCATCTGCCTTGAGAAGTACATCGACGGAGAGGTAACAGCAGAGGCTGGGCCTATCTTGGGTGGGGATAAGGTAGATAGGTCTGCAGAGGAACACAGGTCTTAGAAGGACAGGGCTCCAAGTCCTTTCCCACAGCTTTGCAGGAGTAGAAGGGCTTCGACGCCTAGGTCCCAAGGGGATGGCCTGAGACATTCTAACTGCTATTTGCCCCAGAAAGGGGGTGGCCATAGTACAGAGACACTCTCTCCAGAGATCCGCTGAATGTAAGTGATTTCGGAAGTTTATCAGAAATATATGGGAGGCCAGCCCTGGCCAGTGTGGCTCAGTTGGTTGGAGCATTGTCCCATCTACTGGAAGGTTGTGAGTTCAGTTGCCTATCAGGGCACATGCCCAGGTTGCAGGTTCGATCCTCAGTTGGGATGTGTATAGGAGGCAACCAATCAGTGTTTTTCTCTTCTCTGTCTGTCTGTCTCTCTGCCCCCTACCCACTTCCCTTCTCTAAAAATCAATTTTAAAAAAAGAAATATATGGGAGGCCAGAAAATGTCTGGTTTTAAGAACATTCTTACATGTTGACTTAATTTTAGTCAACTCAAACTTCTGAAAAGTTTGAGACCTAACTTGATACAAACTTCTCATACAAAGCTGTGTGGAACATTTGGTGTTTTTACTTATAAAGAGACAAGGGATATGATGTCCCCTTTTTCCATTCTAGCTTTTATTCTGAAATTTTCAGACCTTCAAAAAACTTACATGAATCATACAATGAATCTGTATCATTGACATAGATAGAATCACCCATTGTTAACATTTTGCCATGTTTGCTCATCTCATTCTGGATAGAGGCATACATACCTACATACTTGGGGAGTAAACCACTTCAGAATTAGTTGCAGACATTTGATGCCCATTTGGTGAATGCATTTCGTTGCTATGTAGACTGTTGGATGGAAAAAGAGTTTTTGCAGAGGACTTTACATTAATAGAGTCTTACATGGTCTCTAGGTGCAGACTGCCTGGGTTCTAATCCTGGCCCAGGTGGGTTCTAGCTTTGTGATCTCAGGCGAATGATTTCATTCTCTATGCCTATGCTTGTGACATGGACCCAAGACTGACCTGCATTCCAGGTGATCACAGGGTTATATGAGAAACTACTGGTAGAACTCTTGCCAAGGTTAGACTCAGTGTTAGGTATTAGTTTGAATATTATTGTATTGCGCTGGTCAGAGAATGGAAAAACAAAGTAAATGAGCAAATTTGGAGGGTGCTTGGGCTCAGGAACTCCAGAGGTGTAGTTGTGCCTCAGAAAACCCCATCACTTCCTCTTCACACGGGCTGCTTTGTTACAAATCAAGTGCCCCCAGGTCAGTGTTCAGGGTCCAGCAAAGGAGAGGATAGGAGAACTTTGCCTCTTTGCTGCCCTGCCTGTTAGTCGCAAGTCCCAGGTTTCTTTCCACTGGTCCCCATTGGAGTATAAGGAGGCAGCCACCATCCCAGGGATACAAAAGGTCTTGGGGTATACCCAGCCCTCTCTTCATACCCCCCTGCTGCCCATGTGCATTAGCAAATGGCTTTGGTCTTTCCTCATGTGTGGCATGAATGTACCATTCTCCAGCGACCAGAAAGGAGCCTACTTCTCTGCTTCCTCCCTTAACACTGAGGGCTGGCTGATGGCCTGTTTCCTTCTCCCTAGAACTCTTGCATGGGCTCTGACTAGGGAATGGAGCCCACCTCTAGCTAGAGATGGAGGAGTTGGGGAGGGCTCCTCGGTACATGCTGGGCTTCACCAGAAGAAGCACGTGCGGGGCTGAAGGCAGAACTGCCCCTGCCTGTTCCCTGCCTTCAAGCTGTGTGTCTTCCTTCCCTTCCCAGGAGCTGCGGGTTATCCCCTGTACTCACCGCTTTCACAGGAAGTGCGTGGACCCATGGCTGCTGCAGCACCACACCTGTCCCCATTGTCGGCACAATATCATAGGTAATTGTCACCTGCCTCTGTTGTTGCTGAAGAGTCACTGCCCCTAACAAGTGCCTAGCAAGAGCAACACCAGCTACAGGCTGATGAGCAAGTAAAACCACCATAACGTTGCTGTCTGACCTTGGACGTGTGGGCATCTCAGGTTTTGGAGGTCACCAGACCTTCAAACTCGTATGAGAGCCTGGCATAAAGAATTGCCCTGAGGTTGAGTTTTGGCTTTCACATGAACCAACATCTTAGCCTGTCCAGGCCTTTGGCCCACAATCTCTTTAAAAGGAATGACAATAGCCCTGGCCGGTTTGGCTCAGCAGTTAGGGCGTCAGCCTGCGGTCCAGAGAGACCCGGGTTCAGTTCCCACTAAGGGCATGTACCTCGGTTGCAGTTTGTCCCCGGCCCTGGTCGGTTGTGCGGGTGGCAGCCACTCGATGTGTTCCTTTCACGTCGATGTTTCTCTCTCTCTCTCTGTTCCTCTCTCTCCCTCCCATTCTACCTGAACAAAAAAATGGGAAAATGTCCTCGGGTGAGGATAAAAATAAATAAATAAAAGGAATGACAATAATAGTGCTTGCCCGTGCCCGGCACTACAGAGTTGTTCCTGGGCCACAGGAGGTGATGACCGAGCAGCAGGGTTGGGATGCTGCTCCTGTGTCGCTGTGGTATTGGATGACGGAGCTGAAACACAGGGTGCATTCCAAGTAGCTGCTTTTTCATAGGGACAGTACCGTTCGTCTTGGTAGCTCTGTTGCTCTCTGCAAACTGTGGTGCTTTGTCGGGCGTAGCAGTGGGGAGGTGGGAGATGAGCCCTGACAGGAGTGACTACCTTTCAGAGAAACAGGTCAGCCTCTGCCAGCACGGCTGAGTTTGGTGACAGCTTAGAGCAGGTCAGGGTCGTAAGACTGGGCACCTTGGCCTATGACCAACCCTGCTGCTTCAGTCTTTGCCCTGATTTATCTGTCCCTCTAGTCTCTGGCACCAATGTGCTTAGCCCTGCTGACTTTGTTTCTTCGGCCTCTCCCCAGAGCAAAAGGGAAACCCAAGCACTGTATGCGTGGAGACCAGCAACCTCGCACGCAACCGGCAGCAGAGGGTGATCTTGCCGGTGCACTACCCTGGCCGCGTGCACAGGACCAACGCCATCCCAGCCTACCCTACGAGGACAAGCATGGACTCTCACGGGAACCCCGTCACCCTGCTGACTGTGGACCGGCATGGGGAGCAGAGCCTCTATTCACCACAGACCCCCACCTACATCCGAGGCTACCCACCCCTCCACCAGGACCACACCCTGGCTCCTCACCGCTGTGGCCTGGAGCACCGGGCCTACTCACCAGCCCACCCCTTCCGCAGGCCCAAGTTCAGTGGCCGCAGCTTCTCCAAGGCAGCTTGCTTCTCCCAGTATGAGACCATGTACCAACACTACTACTTCCAGGGCCTTAGCTACCCTGAGCAGGAGGGACAGGGCCCACCCAGCCTCGTTCCCAGGGGCCCGTCCCGTGCCTTTCCCCCGAGTGGCAGTGGCAGCCTGCTCTTCCCCACTGTGGTGCATATGGCCCCGCCCTCCCACCTGGAGAGTGGCAGCACATCCAGCTTCAGCTGCTACCATGGCCACCGCTCAGTGTGTAGTGGCTACCTGGCTGACTGCCCGGCCAGCGACAGCAGCAGCAGCAGCAGCTCTGGCCAGTGCCACTGCTCTTCCAGCGACTCGGTGGTAGACTGCACTGAGGTCAGCAACCAGGGCGTGTATGGGAGCTGCTCCACCTTCCGCAGCTCTCTCAGCAGCGACTATGACCCCTTCATCTATCGCAGCCGGAGCCCCTGTCGCACTAGCGATGTAGGGGCCTCAGGCAGCTCGGGTCGGGGGCCTGTTGTACACCTTGAGGGCTCCCCGCCGCCTGAGGAGCTCCCGGCAGCCCACAGTCAAGGTGCTGGGCGGGGAGAGCCTTGGCCTGGCCCTGCCTCTCCCTCGGGGGACCAGCTGTCCACCTGCAGCCTAGAGATGAACTACAGCAGCAACTCCTCTCTGGAGCACAGGGGGCCCAACAGCTCTACCTCAGAAGTGGGGCTTGAGGCTTCTGGGGCCACCCCAGACCTCAGGAGGACCTGGAAGGGGGGCCATGAGGGGCCATCATGTGCCTGCTGCTGCGAGCCCCAGCCCTCCGCACTGGAGCCCAGCGTAGGAGTGGCTGGGGGCGGCACCTTGTTCCTGGGCCCTCCCCTCTGTGAGGGCTGTGGCCCCACAGGTGTGGAGTCACAGCCGGGTAGCTCCCAGGGCCTGTGTGGCCTTCACCCAGACCATTTGCCCAGGACAGATGGGGTGAAATATGAGGGCCTGCCCTGCTGCTTCTATGAAGAGAAGCAGGTGGCCCACAGTGGCAGAGGGGGCAGCAGCTTCTACACTGAGGACTGCTCGGTGAGTGTGCAGTACACACTTGCCCAAGAGCCCCCACCCAGCTGCCACCCAGGGGCCCGGGACTTGAGCCAGCGCATCCCCATCATTCCGGAGGATGTGGACTGTGACTTGGGCCTGCCCTCAGACTGCCAAGGAACCCATGGCCTTGGTCCCTGGGGTGGGACACTGGGCCCCGACACCCTGCAGCCCCACAGGAGCCTGGGAGGAGCCCAGGAAGGAGAGGGGGTTCTGTGCTGCCAGCCCAGGGCACCACTGCCACCTGTCTGCCCTCTGGAGAAGGCAGGAGCTGCCAGGGCCAGCTTCCCCAGTGCCTCCCAGGACACTCAGGAGTCCAACACCACAGCTGCTGAGGCTGCAGGTGAGAGCAGGAGACGACAGTAGGCCAGAATCAGGGTCCTCTTTTCTCCACGGTCATTTTCTAAGGGGCTCCCTTAGTGCCATTGACTTGAAACACCATTGGTGCTTAATGACTTCCAACCCAGCCCTTCCTCTGAGTTCCAGACCCATTGGCTCTTTTGCTTCCATGATCTCTCCCACCAGGTGCCACGCAAGCACTCCAATCAAGCTGTCATGTCCATAGCAGCCTTCTCAAATTTCTCCCTCTGCATTCCCTTCTCCAAGGTCCCCACCTCAAAAGCCCAGCACCAGCTATCCCTGAGCCCACCCTACTCCTCATACTTGTATCCTGGACTTCTCAATCTGTCTTTAAGAATCATCCAGAAAATGGAATTTTCAGAAAAGTGAAACTTAGCAAAAGCGTGTCAAATTCAAGTCCAGAATTCATCTTACTAGATTCAGCTGACAGCCCTGGCCAGTTTGGCTCAGCAGTTAGAGCATCGGCCCACTGTCCTGACAGACCCAGGTTCAGTTCCCACTAAGGGCACGTACCTCGGTTGCAGTTTATCTCCGCCCCGGTTGGGGTCATGTGGGTGGTAACCAGTCGATGTGTCTCTCCCACATCCATGTTTCTCTCTCTCCCTCTCGCTCTATGCAAAAATGTCATCGGGTGAGGAAAAAAAAAATAATTAGATTCAGCTGGCATCTTCCAGTTGCTATAAAGTTTCCAAATATTCTGTCTTAGTAATAAACAGTGCAATCCAGCACCTTTGAGTGGTCTCCTGTCACTGGTATTGCCTCTTATTCCACATGGGAGCTAAAGTGGTCTTTTTTCTTTTTTCAAAAATGCAAATTTTTTAGATAGGGAGAGAGAGAGAGAAACAGCAGTGTGTTCCACTTGTGTCAATTCTTTTTTTTTTTTTTTTTTTTTTTTATCCTTACCTGAACATTCTTGCATTTATCTTCAGACAGAGCAGTAGGGAGAGGGGGAGGGAGAGAGAGAAACATCAGTGTGAGAGAGACACATCAACTGGTTGCCACCCACACGACCCCAACCTGGGCTGGGGACAAACTGCAACCAAGGTATGTGCTCTTAGCGGGAACTGAACCTGGGACTCTCTGGTCCACAGGCTGATGCTCTAACCGCTGAGCCAAACTGGCCAGGGCTCATTGGTCAGTTCTTGTATGTGCCCTGACTGGGGATCAAACCCATAACCTTGGTGTATCAGAACGGTGCTCTAACCAACTGAGCTACCCAGCCAGGGCCAAAGTAGTCTTTTTTGAACATAAGTCTATGTGTTTACACTAGAAAACCCTTTAATGACTCACCATGACCTTTACAATGTTGAAAATGTGGCTCCCTGTGGCCTTCGTTCTGTTCCTCCAACATTCCTCCAGCTCATTCCAGCCCCCAGACCTCAGTTTAAATGAGTAGCTCTCACACCCTCGCTTACTTTCCAGGTTACCACAACCTAAAATCACTTTGTTTTGAGGCCTTTAAGCTCTGGGAGAGCAAGGGGGGAGGGGGAAATGTCTTCTCCCCTGCTTGTCCCAGTGACTGCAACAATGCCCAATGCATATCTTCTATACATTGTGTTTTTGTGCCACCTAAGGGCTTCCAGAAGGTTTTGTAGGTCCAGATGAGGGAGGCCAGCTCTTTAGGAGGCACCTATGCCTTCAGTATTGAATGAGGAGCTCTGCTTAAGCCTTTGACTATATGCACAGTTTGTCCAGTGCTATGACCTGAGAGTCTACCATTAGCTGGGGATGGGCACCCATGTCCCTTGTCTGGTCCCCATGCATTGTGTCCAAAGCCTGCGGTGCTGGCTCCTCCCTGATGGTTGTTCTTTCTCCCCCAGGACAGCGATCTCGCCCAGCAGACAGCGGCAGCACAGGAGCCTGAGCCCAGAAGGAACTCTGTGGAAATGGGAACTGTACGGAGACTTCAAACTCTGACTTATTCAGAAAAAAAAATTTTTTTTTAGCTTTGACAAACACACAAAAGTGGTAATAAAGAGAGCCCTCCTTCTCAACCCAAAATGTGAGCCCCTTGGGGCAACCCCCCATCCCATTAACAAACCAACAGACAAAATTCTCTGAGTCTTTGCCTCTTTTGATAACATGTTATTCTTCTGTTTTGTAAAGTGTGTGTGCTTGGGGTTCCAAGGTGTGTGGGATTGAGTTCTCGGCTTTGTTTTTTAAGATATTATATGTAAATGTAAAAAGTTATTTAAATATATATATTTTAAAGAACCCTAACCGCCAACTTTTGCTGAAAAAAGAAATCACTGCTGCATTAATTAAACCACATCATGTGTAGATACTGTTGTCTCCCTGGAGGGAGCTCAGGCCTTTGAAAAGCTCAGGGCTACACCTGCCTTAGAAAATGAACCAGAAACTTGAAGTAAAGCTAGTCGATATGGGTATAGACTTTGAGGATCAATGCAATGCTGCCTCTTTCTCATGGCAAATCCCAACATACAAAATTTCAGGTCTTGGAAACCATGTTTCTCCAGCCCACATCTGTAGGCAGCTGATGGAAACAGCTAGAAAGAGGGTAGAAGGTCTGCAGCACTGGGGAAATGGGATAAGCCGTTGCTACGGAAGCCCTAGTGTGATAGGGACAGTTCTGCCCGGTGTCCTCCTGTGCCCTGTAATCGTCCTGAGGTAAAGGACAGAGTTCACAGTCATGATCTTGGGCTTCCTGCCACTGGCTGCAGAAATGGTTCGACTGGGTATGTGGGGACAAACTCAGGAGGAATGTAGTTGGCGTCTTTGGTGTCTGGAGAGGCTGGGGACCAAGGGCGCGCTGGAACTACTGCATCCTTGGGCTGCCTTCCTAAGAGCGCATGGCCAGGACCCCACTGGGTCTACACCAAGCTCCATTCGAATGATACGTTTTCCATCCCATTTCCCTATTGAAGTACTGCTTCAGGGTTATTCAGCCCTCTGCTCATGGCTGAAGTTGCTCATCTTGCCTGCAAATGTCTACTATCCTTTCTACCTAATGCACTATTATGTATTGATTCTCCATGAGACAGAGAGAGAGAGAGACTATCAGATAGTTTAGACCCAAAGGGTAGGTTTTGTATATTTTTCCAGCCTTTGGTGGTTGTTTTTATAAGAGGAAGGGAGAGTTTAAAAACCCAAACAATTTTTTAAAAGATGTTTCCATTATAAAGGGGAGAATCTATTTAAAGCTATTTCAGATCAGGGATTGTCATCCTTTATGTCCAGTGTATTTCTTGTTCTTAAAAAAATTTTTTTTAGAAGAAACTAACCACATTAGCCCCATATTCACTAACTCCTCTGGTCACTTTGTTTATTCATTTACTCAGCAAATATTTGGTGTCACCTGAAAAGCTCATTTGTGAAATAGGAACCCCGAGAGTTGGCTCCCTGTTAGGTGGGGAAATAGAGACCACCCTGGGTTGCTAGGAGACTGTGAAGACTCTTCTCCAGTAAGGCTCTAGGGCAGTCAACCCGGGGTCCAGACCAGAACATTTTGAATGAGACTCGTACTGTATCAGAATTCTTTTTTCTTAAAAACCCCAGCCTGTGATGAAATTTACTTCTAGCCAGAATTTGACAGAAGGAAATTCCAGTGTGAAATGATTGAGCCATTTGCCATTTAGGAACTCACCCATTTGCCATTTGGTGAGATTTGTCCTCAAGCGTCTAAGGTGCAGTCCCTTGGGGGGTTGCTCCCCCCAGGCCTGTGCCCAGCACACCTGTTGGCGAGGGTGTGAGAAGCGCCTAAGCTGTTGACATGTGATCTGGGCTGCCTGTATTTCTCGGGCCAGGACTAGCAGCTGCTGAGGACAACAGCTTGCATTACGTGGTTTAGGGGAAGGGGGTGAGTGTATGGCTTTAAACATGAACTGCAAAAAGCAGCTTCTCATTGTTGAAATTTTGTTGTTTGTGGTTTTGTTTGTTTTTAATGCCTTTGAGTATATATTATCTTCCTTGTCTGAAACCATACCCCCAAAATGGCTTTTGTAAGCCCCAGCTAGAAAAAAAAAACACTCCTCAAGAGCCTTAAGCAATGAATACATGAGTAAAGAATGTGGCTTAAACTGGGCTTATTAAAATAAATGTGTCCAATTTTCATTTGAAAGAACAATAACTACAGATGGCAAAAGAAGCACATTTAATGTTGGTAGTTTACAGGGTGGTAGAAACAGAAAAATGAAATTTTTAAACTTTAAATATCAGCCACTGTCTTAAGTTTGTGTTGGCTTATTAGACAGGGAGGTCACTAGAATAGTGTAACCAACTAACTATATTATTGCCTCACCACTTAAATCAAAGAAAATATCTTCTGTGAAGTTGTAAGGCTCCAATAACGATAAGTACCCTTTTCAGTGGCCTCTCAGTGGTGCGTGGCACTTATGTAGCTGTGGAAACTGGGAGCATCACATTTTCCATTGAGAACATCTGTACCACCTGCCCCCCCACCCCTGCCCCCCGCCAGGGTGTGACCATTGGATGTGGTTTCATGGCCCAGCCCTCATGTGACAGCCATGTAAACTGAAGAGTGCTAGAACCGGTTCATAGGCTGGGGGCCGGGGGAGTTGGGGGATTGTGGAGTTCTGATCAACAAGGTACCTCTTTTAGACACAGCCCTAGTATTCTGGCTTTAACTCAGTTTCTTCCCCCTCTCTTCTGAACCCAAGCCATTGTTTAAAGCCCCATCTGCTGTCCCACTGCTCAGACCCTCCCTTTTGTGCTGCTAGTTTCTACTCAAAGTTCCTGCAGGACTAATGCTTTTAAAATGAGGTCTAAAAAATGAGTACTAATCAAGAGTATTATTTTTTAAACAGAACTGCCTTTTTCTATTCTTTATATAAACTCTATTGTGTTGGTGTAACAAGGCACTATTTTTAAATGTTTTTAAATTTTTTCTCCCATAGCACTTAAAAGATATTTTGTAAAGACGTTGCTGTAAAGATTTTGTAATAAAATGGTCTAAGGGCTCCTTCTCCAACATTACCATTTTTAAAAAATGTTTTAAAGGCTAGAAAACAACTTATGTATATTCTGTATATGTATAGCAGCACATTTCATTTATGGAAATATGTTCTCAGAATATTTATTTACTAATATATTTATCTTAAGCCATGTCTTATGTTGAGAGTGTGACATTGTTGGAATAATCATTGAAAATGACTAACATGAGGCCCTGTAAATACATGATAATTGCACACAGATTTTACATATTTGCCGACCAAAAATGATTTAAAACAAGTTGTAGTCTTCTATGGTTTTGTAACAAATTGTACAAATGACTGTAAAAAAAAATACAATTTTATCAAGTACATGTTATATGTTGTCATTGCTCTGTCTGGTAAAGGTCTACACATTCCACGAAGGAGTTTTGCATGAAGCAATGCCTTTAACTTCAGCTTGCTCATGAGAGCATCCATATACTTCCCTCTCCAGTTAACACAGAGTTCAGGTTATTGAGGATTTAGGTGGAGCATCTGATAGAAAGTGTGGAATTGTGTCCTTGAGATGTGGGTAGTTTTCCTGCTCAGCCCTATGTGGAGGGAAGGAAATGGTAGTCAATCCTAGCAGTCCACCTTTTAAAAATTGGGACTTAGGGTGGATATAAACCATCAGCTTCATCTGCAGGATTTTTCGTAGCTGGGAGACAGAGACTCTCAAACCCCAAGGGAAAGGGGCTTTTAGGAAAAAAGCCCCAAGCATCCAGCCCTCAAAATTACCTGCTCATGAGAGTGGAGGGGGGCTCAGTCTGAAATGAATCTTGTACACATTTGTCATGTTTCCTGAGGAGGGTAGTTAACTGATTTGTAGAGCATTTTGAGATAACATGAAAGGTGCAAAATGGTGTTTATTTTTTAGACATCTAGCAGAGAATATCCTCAACGTGTGAGTTCCTGTTTCTATTTCTCCCTCTTTAACTTGGGCCATTTCTTGGGCACAGGCTCCTTGTTGACCTCCAGCCATGGCCTGCCCGGCAATGGGTCCTTCTGAGCACCTTCTGGGGTGGCAGCCTGGCTGCACAGAGCCTCCCAGAGCTTTTGTTTGATGGCCTTGCCCAGCTCCAAGCTGTACCTCTTGGGGGTCCCTGAAGGATTCCACAGCATCGGCTCAACCACAGCGTGGTACAGAGCCTGGTAACCCTCTGTGGGTAGGCCATGGATGGTTAGCATGTCTGACAACTGCTGTCTCTTTCTGGCTTCAGGAAGCAACTCCTGGCCCTTCCAGGCTGCTCTCCCAATGTCCCTGCGTAGCACTTGGGTGGTAGCCACATGTTCAGCATATCTGTTCTCAAGATCTTGGCTGACTGTTACTTTTTTCTCCTTTGAACTTGCTTTACTCTAGCCAGGAAGAAAGCAGAGAAGTCAAAGCTAAAACTTGAGAAGGGAGCTCAGAATAATTATCTTGGATTTGTGTCCCAGAGTCTTGGTTACAGCCACAACCAACATTTGTCTAGTGTGTTCTAGTTTACTGAATTCCTTCATGTATACCACTGCATGCATTCCCTATAACCCTGTAAGGTCAGCAGGAGACAACTTTAAAAGCAAGGAAACTGGAATTGGTTTGCCCAAGGCCACACAGCTAGAAAGTTAATAACCACAGTTGTCATCTATTGAATGCCACACAGGATCCTAAGCATTTAGTCTGCCAGGCTCTATTCAAAAGCCTTTTGCATCTATTTACTCATTTAATCCTCAAAACCCTATGAGGAAAGGGCTATTATCCCCCGTGTTAAAGATGACAAAAACCAAGGCAAGAAGAGCCTAAGCCTACTGTTGTCCTTAATTATAGTCAAAGCTGAGATTTGAACCTGACATCCAAGCTCCAGGGCGCATTCTGAGCTCTGCTGGCCACCATGCGTGATGGAGGTGGACTCAGATCAGGCCTCTAGATGTCAAGTTCTCCATGGAAGTTCATAGCCAGGTCTTGGTCACCTCTGCTGTTCCAGTGTGCATGCCTGTGTGCTCTAACCATACCCTGGCCTTTCCCTTCATGTCAAGCTCCTTTCATCTGTGTTTATGAAAGCCACTTCACCCTCCTATAGAACTAGGTAGGGTATAAATAACATGCCCCCAGATCTGGTGCTCTCTCCACTGTATCATGCTGCTACTGCCCCCCTCTCCCCCCACAATCCTGTCTTCAACTTTAGGATTTCCTCTGCATCATATAAATCTTTTAAGCGTTAAGTGTTCTCTAGCTGACATTTCCCTCTCCCCACCCCATCATATTTTCTCCACCACCAGCCATGATCTACCTCATTGATGCCTCCTGCAGGCCGCCTGCGCCTAGGTGAGCCTGGCTGCTGCCCCACAGGCTGCTTGCTCTTGGAACTGATGGAGTTTCTTATCCTGCCCCGCCGAGTGGCTTTCACTGCTGAATTGTCCTTGGGCTTTAATTTCTTTGAGGGTTTTGCTTCTCCAAACTTGCGTGGTACTGGGCAGCATTTATCCTTCAGTTGTCGCCTGAGCACCAGCTTAACCAGGGAGAATGAACTGGCAACGAATGGGTTCTTTACAACTTCCCAAGAAGAGGTGGTACCTGGTGCTGGTGCACTGATGTTCTGCTTTGCACATGTTCTGGCCGTCCAGATGTTGGTGAGAGCTGGTGAGTCCACATAGCAATCCTGAAACCTGGTGTTCAGTAAGATAGACTGCCGGAGTCCATAGGTAGGGATGCTGGGGTCTCGTCTCACATAGATTGGATGCTAGAATTATAAAGAGAGGGAAAGGGAACAAAAAAGACCAATTCTCGAGCAGAGACCAGAAGGTCTATTTTGGAGGCAAAGTATTAACATCTTTTTAGAGACCATTTCTTTCACACCCATCTTAGAAATCTATCTACACATCCTCTCTCCTGTTTACCAAAGACTTTTGTACCAAGGTCACAGTGATATTCAGCCTCTCAAAGAACACAGCGTGCTTGGACTGGAAGTGGAGGGCCAGCGAGCTAGCTTTACAGGGAATCAAAGACAATTCCTGTCTGCTGGAAAGGTAAGGGAACCCATAGCAGGAAAAGGATGGGAGATAGAATCACTTGAGATTCCTATAGGAGCTGTAATCACTCCTCAACCATGCTGCCTCAGAGAAATGACAGCAGGTAAAGTCCTGCCAAATCCTGAATACACTTTCTGACCAGACTGCCATGAGCCAAGAAAAGCTGCTAAACAGGGAAATACACACTGGGGTTCTTAAAGGCAAAAGCACAACGTAAATGATGCTGGCCTCCATTTCCGGACACCAGCAGAGAACAAGAGAACAATCTGGATAGATCAGAATCACACATTTAGAGAAACCTGGCTTTCTAAGAAATGTCATCTATAAAAAAATAAAATCACCTTACCATATTTCGGTTGCCTTAAATTTTATTTTAGCTAGCTTAGTAGGGGAAAGAAGGATGTATTTTCTTTTCCCTTTTTTTCCCTCTTGCTCTCTTTTTTTGATTTGTTTGTTAGTTTTAATATATCTAGTCGCCTATCTTTCTCTGCCTCAGTCACGTATGGGCAAATTGCAGTTTGCTTAGATTTGGGCAGGCAGTTTTGAACCATTATCTCTAGTATTTGTGATGTCACTTTGTTTTGTGATGTGGGTGTAGGTGGGCGTTACATCATTGAATTTTATAGTTAAATTATGTTGGAGGAAGTTCTATTTTGTTGTGTTTACAGTCTCAGGAACTTCTGAAGTCCTCATTTCCCTCAAAATAGCTTGGGTGAATTTGGAAGGTCCTAACATTCTTAAGAAGTATGCTTTGCACGCCATGTAGTCAAATATGCAGACCAGATTTGTGGATACAGGTAGTGAGATGCATTCTTACATGTGCAAAAGTGCCCTTCTTCGTGCACATAAAGAAGGTACTGTTAAATTCTCAGAATAGCTGCCAAGGTTAGGGACCAGAAATGAAAGAACACGTTCCTGCAGCCCTGGGCACCTCTCCCTCCATGTCTCTCCCCGGGAGACGACATGGTTTCTGGAATGTGGTTTTATTTTACATCCCATGGCAAATGCAGTAATTAGAGCTGTTAGCAGTGTCAAGGGCTTGAAACAAGAACAAAGACGCCTCTTCCTGGGAACTCTTGGGCAATGCCTTGCTCCTTATCAGGTGCTTGTCCTGTTGGTGGTTTTGATATTTCATACGCAAAATGCCAAAGGAGGCTCCCTCCTGAGGGGGAGGAGAGCGAAATGATGGAAAAACAGAGTGTGAGTCTGGCAGGCGTTCCTGGAATCACATGTGTTGCCTGTTTGATTTTTTTCGAGTGTTGTCCCTGGAGTGAATCAAAGTCTACAGGCAGACCGCACCGCAGGCCATGGTAGAACCACCTCCAGGCCCTCGGCATCTGGACCCACAGACGCTTAGGAGGACAATGGGGCCCATTCAGCAGCCAGCCCTGGCCTCACCTCCAGAGAGGTGGGTCAGTTTTAGAGCAGGGCGTTGGAAAGGGTTTGTCTTTGGGAAGGGTTTGCGAATGTCTGGAGACTGGGCAAGCAAGCATCCTTTCAAAGCTGGTGAATCCCAGAGAGGTGGCATCAGGCTCTTGGGCTACTGTCTCCCTTTACTCTGCATTGTGGGGACAGAAGGGGAAAAGTCAGGCAAGAAAGGCATTCTGGGACTTAGCTCTTCTGTTTCTCATCTCTCCTTCCCCATCTTGAGGTTGGCCTTCCCACACATCTCTTTCCAGACATTCATCTGCTGTATTTACTTTCCTAGACCTTTCACTCAATGACAAAGTGACATTGTTCTGGCTCCCAGGAACACTCTAAATCTCCTTCTGTTCACATGGACGGCAGCTGATAGATACTCTTCAAATTCCATCAAATTCTGCCTTCTCTCCCTTCAATTGACTGTACACTAACAAGAAACCCTGACCTTCTTTAGAACTAACCCAGTGTAATTTGGTCTGTGTCATTTCTCCTATGTCAGTAAAATCTGTATTTATTGAATGCTTACTATAGGCCAAGCGCAGTTATAGACACTTTACAAGCATCATCTCATTTAATGATACTAATAGTCTTATGAGTTTGGGTATTCTTGCCATCGCTACTTTACAGATGAAGAACCTGAGACACAAATTGCTTAAGAACCATGCCCCAAAATTAGTAACCAACAAAGGCTGGACGCAACCAAGATGTACACCACTCCACCCTCACTCTTATTGTGCTGTTCCCTAGCTATTACTGTGATGCTTTGTCTCTTATCTGCTTGGCCCATCCACATGCCATACCTGGGCCCAGTTCTGGTCCTATTCTTGTCACGAGACTTCCTCCAGGCTCAGGAGATGGTCTGCCTGAGTTGACATCCCAGATATAGCTCTCTATGGGCAAGTGAATTCACATCTCTGAACCTTATTTTCCTCATCTGTGAAATGGGGATAGTGATAGTGCCTACTCCAGGATCACTAGGAGGATGAAATGGGACAATATATGTGAAGAACTTGGCATGCTTTTGGCACAAAATAAGCACTCAATAAATACTGTTCTTATTACCATTATTAATATTGTGGCCCATTCACTCATCTGACCCTTTCTTGAGCCCCAAAGTAACATGACCCAACATTTGATATGGACTTCATCTCAGGTCCTTCATGCACATCCATCTGGTTTATGAAGCCAAGCAATGAGCCTCTTGAAGTGGGGAATGATTCTGATCTGACTTGAGTATCCCAACATTTATTTCCCTATGATCCATCTTCACTAAGCATTTGTCAGATTCACGGACTTCACAGAAGTGGTATATTTACAGGAGGTACATTTCTCCCTGACGGTGGGAGTGGTTCAGAACATCCCATGCTTCATTAGACAGAAAGGGAAGCACGTAACCAAGGATACACTAAGGAAAGTGACTAGTCTTTAATAGAGATTATTCCATCAAAGGTTGTTCAGAATCACCAAGTCAAAATGGAAAGACTCTCTTTGGTTCAGGGTCCTGAATCCATGGCAAGAGTTTCCATTGTTGGTGCCAACACTGATTCACCAACTTAGGGTTGAGGCAGTAGGGCTTCCATATTGCTCAAAGGCCTGTCCCTCAGTTTGATTTGCCATTGAACCTTTTTTATTCTGCTGAGTTCAGTCTAAATAACTTTTATTTTCCACCCATCATTTGGAGCTGTGCTTCCTGACATCTCTAAACCACCACTTCTATTTGGAAACACATCTGCCCTTCTTTGATGCTTAGCCAAGCTCTCCTCACTGTATTTTTAGCTCCTATAATGTTTCTTCTTTCTTTTTTCCTTTCCTACAACCTTTCTCCTCTTTAATTTCTCTTAGCTCCTCTTCTTTTTCTGGAAGATCAGTTAATAAAGAGGAAACTGAGCCAATTTGTATTAATTCTTATATTTTCCCTTCAGGCCCCATTCCCAAATTCTAGTGGAATTTAGTTGTTTTTAATATTCTTCAGAAGATGTTTTTATTTTAACACCCAAGCAGTAAACTTCCACACCCATGTGGGAACATATCTGAGGTTTGTGATGTAGAAAGTTTGGGAAAGAAGAGAAAAACTTTGGATGAGAGAATTTGCAAAGATTCCTGAACTATGATGCAAACTCTGAGGACCAGTGATTTAGACCACATGTGCTGAGTATGCACCTATCATGGGCCAAATATGTGAAATAAGGGTGCCCTGCCCACCCTGCTACCCCTTCTCACCTGACTCTGAGTTTTCAGACATGGCCACCTGGCTGTCCCACAGACACCTCTAACTCATTATGTTCAAACCAAATTCTCTCTCCTTTCACCCCCATTAGAACAAGCAAACTGCCCTGGCCGGTTTGGCTCAGTGGTTACAGCGTCAGCCTGCGGTCCAAAGAGATCTGGGTTCGGTTCCCACTAAGAGCACGTACCTTGGTTGCAGTTTGTCCCCGGCCCTGGTTGGGTTGCGTGGGTGGCAACCACTTGACGTGTCCCTTTCATGTTGATGTTTCTCTCTCTCTCTCTTTCCCACTCTATCTGAACAAAATATCAAAAAAATTTCCTTGGGTGAGGATAAAATAAAAAATTAAAATAAAGTAAACCATAGACACTACCAAAAAAAAAAAAAAAGAACAAGCAAACTACTACTTCTCTTGAATTTTCCTTCACTAGTTGCCTGGCCCAGAAACTCAGGAGACAGGATCAGTAACAATACTATGCTGAGCTGAGCCTGAGGCTAACAGAAAATCAGAAATCTAGATACTGTTTTTATTTAAAATTTTGATATTTTGTTCATCTTGAATTTTTTGTCATTCATTTAGATTTTTAAAGATATTTCATTAAAATGTTTTAAGTATATTCAATATATTTCAAAACCCATTAAATGATATTTATTTCTTTATCTTGATTATTGAGTTTATTGGGCCTTCTGAAATTGTGTGCCTGAGTTGAATGCCTCATTACCCCACCCAAATCTTGGCCATGGACCACTCAATAAGCATTTGTCACCAGAACCCTATAAAGACAAGAAGGCAATTCACCACAGTGATTAGGAGTGTAGTCCTAGAGACCTACCGTCTGGGTTTAAAGCCCAGCTCCACTACTATATGACCTATGGATGAACCATTTAACTTCTCTGTATGAGGGTAGTGGTAAGGGTACCTTCTTCATAAAAGCTATTGGGGTTATGTGAAATGCAATGGCAAACATTGCACACTGCCTAGAGTTTACTCAAGTCCTCAGTAAATGTTTGCTATGGTTGTTATTATTATAATCAGGCACCTCATTCAGTGCTTGCTTTACACCATGACTGCCCTGTGAGCAGAAGTCACCCCAACTGGAGTTTCAAAGATACTAGGATCACCCAAACTCTACCAGCTAAGATATCTTGTTTTCTTTATTATTATCCTCACCTGAAGATATGTTTATTGATTTTTTAGAGAGCGAGGAAGGGGGAGAGAGAGAGAGAAACATTGATGTGAAAGAGAAACATAGATCAGCTGCCCCTGGCACGTGCCCAGATCTGGGATCAAACCCAAAACCTAGGTATGTACCCTGACTGGGAATCAAACCTGAACCCTTTTGGTGAATGGGACAACATTCCAAACAACTGAGCTACCTGGCCAGGGCTCTCCCAGCTTCTTGGCAAATCCTGCTGCCCATGGAGGAATCCAAGGGTCCAACTGCAGAACACAAGAGGCAAACAGACAAATACCAACATCTTCCTGGAGGCCCAGGGACTACAGCCAGTGTCCTCACTCTTTCCATGAAATAAAGCTGCTAAATGACTGAGGCATGTGAAGCATTGAAATGAATATCTTAGACTGCTCCTTGCCAGGGGCCAGGACTACATAACTGAGCAAAAGACCTTGAGCTATTAAGTGCCCTGACCTAGACCGGCTTGGTTGTATTTTTAGCCTCTGTGCACTATTTCCATCACCTGTGCTGGGCTTTAAACTGGAAAAGAGGGGAGGGAGGCCTGGAGAAGGCATGAGGGATGTTTCTCATAGCCGCCAGTGGGGGCAGGGCCTTACACACTATTTCTGAGTTCTGTTGTACAAGCCAGCTTAATGGGCGTGCAACCTGTGTAGTGATACAGGTCCCGAACTTAGAAGGGCCCCACACTTGGTTTAATGCCCTGTGGTTACCATCTTAAAATTCTTAATCCTTTCAAACAAGGGACCCCCACATTTCCATTTCTCACTGGCCCCTGCAAATCATATAGCCTTTTCTGTTTGAAAACAAAGCCAAGAGGGCCAAACTAAGAAAGGGGGCCGGTACCCACCCAGCAGGGGTGCTTTCCTGCAGGGGGTAGGACAGGCCAAAGCTGCTATCATGAGGTATGAATCCCCAGGCTTGGCCAAATAAACCTTATTTTGAACCTCCTATCTGCCCTATGTCCTCCTCAAATACTGGGATGAGATAAGACAGAACCTTGTAAATTGTGGAGAGCTATGTCCTGCTTTGCTAAAACCTTTCCCCAGCTCCCTATTTAAAGCAGTCCACAGATCATCCTCTGTCAGCATCATTTTCTTGTCTTTGTAGTGCCTTTTGCTCTCTGAAATTCTAGCTATTTTCACATTGGTTGACTGGCCCCCTCCCCTTCGTTAGAATGTAAGCTTGTACTATTTCTGAAGTTGGCATGTTCCTTACTGAATATTTTATTTTAATTATTACATTTATTGAGATAACAGTGGTTAACAATAGATTTCAGGTGTACAGCGTTGTATTTCCATATCTATGCGCTCTATTTCGTGCTCACCACCCAAAGTTTACTTCCCTTCCTTTTCCCTTCACTGAATGTTTATTGAATGGAGGAAGGTTCACCTTTATTAAGTGCTTATTTTGTGCTGATGGTTTCACCTGCATCTCGTTTCGTTCTTCTGTATGTCCTGCCTGCGCCCGCAAGAGCACAAGTTGAAGGTAATGAGTTCCCAGGTCCTGCCAGAGGAGGAGGTTTTGGAAGTGGGAAGGGCCCAAAATAGTGGAGAACAGAAGGCAAGTGCCAGGTGGGATGTGAAGGGTGTGTCCTCAGGGACCAGGTGTCACTCGGTGGGGGGTGTCCCCCTGCTCCATTAAGGAGTCCAGAGGATTCTTGAACCGGGAATGACACAGTGAAAACAATGACAGAACAAGATTCTTCTTGCCGCAGCTCTGGGTCGTGTGGGTGGAAAGGGAAGGAGATTGAGAGGCCTCGTGGGAGGTAGCTGCGCCTTTGAGGCCCGGCCCTGGGAACAGCTTGGGCGGTGGGATGGGGGGAGGCGGACCCTGGGAGTGGGCGAGGGGGCGGCTCCGGGGTGGCGAGGGAGCATAGGGGCCGGTGCACCTAAGGCGAGCCGGGACCGGTCCAGCCCCAGTCTGGGCGCGGCGAGTCGGCACACGAGGGCAGATGTTCCCGCCGCCGCACCGGGCGCAGGCCCGCACTTGCAAGTCCCGGACTAGGGACTTGAAAGCGCCCGGCGCGCCGCCTGGACCTGCCTCTCGGGGCGTCACCGCGGCACTTTAGGCGGGAGCTGAAGGAAAATCTCGCCTGCCTCGGGGAGTGCGGGGGAGGACCGAGGCCCGCCGCAGATCCCGAGTGCAGCTGGGGAAGCCATGGGGGAGTGGGGAGGGCAAAGGGCCTGCCACGCGGGCCCGGGAGTTTAAAGAAGTCTGCGTTCTCTGAGCCTCAGCCTGTAGGAAAGCAACACTGCCCCATCCACGTCTGGACTTTCATTGCGTCGGGAGCTTTACTTGCTTCTACGTCACCTAATAGGGTGAACGCCTTTTATGATTTCCACTTTGCAGATGACTGAGGCTCAGACAGAGTAGGAAACTTGCCCCAATTGACAGAAGATGTGCGATGGGATTCGGAACCGGACTCGGTATGCTGCTTCTGTGGCTGCAAGAATTGGGACGGTGAAAGGAGCTCAACATTTTCCAAGCTCCTAGTGTTCTTGTGTAAAAGTGTCTCCTCATTTAGTACCATCGCTTTGGGAATAGTTGCTGTCAACGCCCCCATTTAACAGATGAGGAAATTGAAGTAAGGGAGCTATTTTCCCTTTAATCCTGCCCACAGTCTTACAGGTGACGGAATGGGATATGAACCGGGACAGGCTGACTCAGAGCACCCCCCCCCCCCTTTTTTAAATATGTTTTATTGACTCTTATAGAGAGAGGAAGGAAGAGGAAGAGATAGATAGAAACATCGATGAGAGAGAACATCGATTGGCCGCCTCCTGCACGCTCCCCACTGGGGATCGAGCCCACAACCTGGGCATGTGCCCCTGAGTGGAATCGAACTGGCGACCTCTTCGTGCATGGGACGATGCTCCATCCACCGAGCATACCTGCCGGGCTGGAGCACCCTTTTTTTAACCACGACGATGAGCCAAGCAGGGAAAAGCGGTTTGCAAACTGCTGTTCTGATTATTACCCCTGTGGTTGAGCCCGCGTTTGGGTCACAACCCGAATGAGGGTGGAACAGGGGTCACTGGGCGCCCAGCCCACTCCAGCCGGGCCAAACCTGCAGGAAAGGACTCGAAGGCGGGGTCCCAAACCCCGCCCCTCACCTGTTGGCCCCGCCCCCCGACGGGGCCAATAAAACGCTTCTCGGGGGCGGGCCCAGGTGAGGAGGTGAATGTAGGCGGAGCCTGGCGCGTGAGTGGCAGGCGCGGCGCGCGGGTGGGATGGAGCAGGCGTGCGCAGTCGGCTCCTCCTCTCAGGCCTCGCGGAATAGCCCGGCGGGCCCTGGGCGGCCGGGGCGGTGGCGGCGCTGGGGAGGGCGGGCCGGGGCGGGGCAGCCGGGCGGCCGGGGCGGGGCTACGTTCGAGCCCCGCGTCCCGCTCCCATGGCCGCCCCCGGCTCCCCGCGCTGCCCCCTCTCCCCCGGGCCGCGCCCCGGGGCCCCGCACTGACGGCCCATGGCGCCGCCCGCCGCCCGCCTCGCCCTGCTCTCCGCCGCCGCGCTCACGCTGGCGGCCCGGCCCGCACCCAGCCCTGGCCTCGGCCCCGGACCCGGTGAGTGAGCGACCCCCGACGCCGGCCCTGTGCAGAACCAGCCTGAGGGGCTCGCCTGGGGGGACCCAGTCCTCTCGCCACTACCTTCCCGACTCCTCCAAGCCCCTCAGCGACGCCCCCTTGGACCCGGCGGGTACCCCGCCTCAGGACCCGGGACTCCCCCCAGGCCCCTCAGCGACGCCCCCGGGCCGGGTTGCTGCCCACCTGCCCCAGGACCTGGGAGTCCGCCAGCAACGCCCCCCAAGCTGGGACTCCCTCTCTGCCTCGTACCTCCCGAGATCCCTTCGCCAAACTTCTCAGCGACGCCCCCGGGCTGGGACGTCTTGTCTGTCTCAGGACCCGGATCCCCTGTTCAAGTCCCTCAGCGCTTCCCCCGCGGGCCAGGACGCCCCCTCAGCCTCTGTACCTCCTGAGATCCCGTCTTTCAGCCTCTCACCAAGACACGCTCCCTCACCCCGCCTCAAGACGCTGGACCCCCTCCCCTAACCCCTCAGCGACACCCCCTCCCGAGCCAGGACCCCCCCACATAAGCCCCACAGCGACGTCCCCACGTCCCCCACACCCGTGGATTCCAGCGCCTCCCTGCTCAGGGGCGGGTGCGGAGGGGAGAGGAGCGGGCGCCCAGTTCCTCTGCCCAACACTGTAATTTCTGCCTCGGGAGGTATCGAGTTGACTTGCCTGCGCTTCATGACACATGTCCAGGTCCCGGACTACCCGCTGTACCCAGCCGGAAAGCCCCTGCGGGCCCAGCTCGGAAGGAGGAATAAAGGAAGGGTGATGGGAAACGTCTACCCTATAGAGTTTAGAGTGCTAGTGCTTATCCTAAGGGTGCGATGCAGAGCTCCGTTTCCCGGGTAGTCCCATACTTTGAAAAGGGTCACCTGCTCCCTAGGCCAAGGCCAAGGCCAGGTCTTCCCGAGGTGGGGCCCTGGACCAGGATGGAAGCTGGGACTTTGCTTAGCTTCCATACACACCCTTCCTTGCAGCAGAACTCTTTTCAAGTTGAAGAGCAGGCAAGAGGGCGTTGTCTGGCCCAGTGGCATTTCTCTGCAGGTTGTTTGGGTGTTGAAAATTGGGCATCAGTGAAAAAGAAGGCAAGCGTTCATTATCGGTTTGCCCAAGTAGGAAGACCAACCTCTGGGTTCTCCAACCAAAGTTACAGACTGATGTTGGAAAGACAGGATTTTGCTGCTGAAAGAAAACGCAAGAGTTGCTTTGTTTATTTACCAGCTTGGATTAATGAAAAAGATAGGACTTGATGTTGTCACTTATAGTGTGACTTTGGGCCATGCCTTCAGTTCTGTGAGCCTCACTTTCCTCGTATGTAAAGGTGGGATAATGATAACTCCCTTACAGGGTGTTGTGAAAATTAAATGATATATTACAGGTATACACCCACATATAGAAAGCAGTCAAACATATTTTAATAATACTTTTTATAGTGCTTCACAGTTCACTAAGTGTTAGACACCTCATTTGCCCTGAGAATGCTCCGAGCTTGCAGTCTGATAAAGCCCTGTAAAAGGCAAAGCTTGGCTTTAGATCAATGGGGGTGGGGGGTGGACGGTGGGGGATGTCTCCAAATACTGTAAACCTTAGGCTTAGGAAGTGTTTTCTGAGTGATTGGTGGCTGCTTTCTAGGGGACTTCTACAAAAACTTCTACACAAGTTTGATCACTTCTACTGTTTGCCATATGTGAGGAATGAAGGAGGGACTTTCTGAGAGCCAGGATATGTCAATATAACTGTAACCTAGTAACCCCTTAGCACCACTTTGCCATCTGTGTGGTCAGGATTTAATGTCCTCTAAGGAGAGAGGTGCTGGTGGAAATAAACTGGTTTCCCTCTGGAAAGGGCAGAGTAATAGCTCTGAAAAGTGTTAAATGAGCCAGCTCTGTGCTTACACTTGTTAGAAGGTGGCATCCTTTCCTCAGGCACCTTTGCTTTCCTAGGAAGAGTCAAATGCAGCAGCTCTGCCCTGGCCGGTTTGGCTCAGCGGTTAGAGCGTCGGCCTGCGGTCCTGAGGGACCCGGGTTCGGTTCCCGCTAAGGGCGTGTACCTCAGTTGCAGTTTGTCCCCGGCCCTGGTCGGTTGTGCGGGTGGCAGCCACTCGATGTGTTCCTTTCACATCGATGTTTCTCTCTCTCTCTCTGTTCCTCTCTCTCCCTCCCACTCTACCTGAACAAAAAATGGAAAAATGTCCTCGGGTGAGGATAAAAAATAAAAATAAAAAAAATGCAGCAGCTCTTAGGAATTTTGAACCTCAAACCTTAATGTGTTTTTATTGGAAGTTTGAGGTAGGGACACATAAATAACCATTGTGAGATGATTTATGATAAGTGGCCCCAAATCCCAATTCATTGAGCATCATGAGCTCTTTTTCCTTCTATCCTAAGCTTTTGTGACTTTTCCTCTTTACTTCCAGAAAACAGTATTAGGGAGATACCACGTGGTCTTGAGCATCACATCCTATCTAGAGCCTGCCCACTAGTTTTTTAAGTTCTTTCCAATAAAAACAAAACAAAACACGTTTTATTCTGAGGATATGCCAAACTTACCATTTTATACTTTTTGATACTGTAATTTTCTCTAGAATTTTGTGGATGGAAAAAATTATTTCAAGTACTTATATTCTGTACAATTTTGTAATATTTAAATTACTGGTGGTTTGCATTTTTGAATGCTGACTTTATAAAAACAGTTAGCTCATTCCCCATCAATGCTACTTCTAATTACAGTGTGTAGCCAACCCCAGATGATCTCCCTTTTCTCCATTCTTCCTTTGAGACTCTCTCCTTCCTTGACAGCTGATAAGGAGAAAGATAGAGGTTCATGATGGAACCTAGACTCCCCTTTCTAGGAGGAAAGCAGCCAGGGGGCCGTGGGGCTGATGCACTTTACGAAGTTGAGCTCCCATCTGGAATTTATTGACCTGCAGGGGAGAGCCATGAGGTAGGAAGAACAGAGAAGCCTGGGTAGACTGGCTATTTGAGTTTTCTGCCAAAGACAAACTACCTGCTTCGGTGTTTCACTGCATTTGGCTATCAGGTGTGCAGCAACACAGTTTCTCAACTCAGGTTACATATGCTGTGAACAGTGTTTAAGAGTTGATGCTGATTCTCTTCTAAGTCCTCATCTAGAACTGATCCCACTAGCCAGTAGTATGCTTTGCCATAAAACGTATGAATTCAGTTAATAGTGAGAGCTTTACACTGTACAGAGCCCTGTCCCTCTTGGGGATTTCATTAGTGTTAATAGAATTACCTGTATGCAACATAGGGTCTGAGAGGAGTTAAGTGTACTGATATACATACCAGTTACTTTTATGCTTTGACTATTTTAAGAAACACAAAACTCAGAATTCACCTGGTATCAAAGAACCCTGGTCTTTTTGTTAAGAAATTGGTTTGGCCCCAAGACAAAGCTATATAAATGTTTGAGATATGCGCCCTGGCCGGTTTTGCTCAGCGGTTAGAGCGTCAGCCTGTGGTCCAGAGTAACCCAGGTTCGGTTCCCGCTAAGGGCACATACGTCGGTTGCAGTTTGACCCCGGCCCTGGTTGGGTCATGCGGGTGGCAACCACTTGATGTGTCCCTTTCATGTTGATGTTTTTTTCTCTCTCTCTCTCCCTCCGACTCTTTCTGAGCAAAAAATGGAAAAATGTCCTCGGGTGAGGATAAAAATAAATTAAATAAATAAATAAATAAATAAATATTTGAGATATGCAAGAGACATTTTATAAATCTTAACACAAAAAGAAGTTCCGTTTAAGTTCATTACTAATAAACAGCAAGTTGTTGCACTTAATATAGATATTATTGGTACACTTACATATGATTTAGCATAGTTGGATCAACAGTAATAAATAATAAAGATAAAATATGTTGCTTTAAATAGCTTCATAATACAGATTAGGGATTTTTGGTGATGGGCTATATACCAACTGTAGTTGAGAATTTTTGAGCCTATAATCCCATCTAGGTCAGGTGTTAGCAAATATTTTTTTTGTAAAGGGCCAGACTAAATAATTTGGACTTCGTGGACCACATACTCTCTCTGTTGCAATTACTCAACGCTGACTTTGTAGGACAAACACAGCCATAGACAAAGTATAAATGAATCGGCATGGCTGTGCTCCAATAAAACTTTATGGACACTGAAATTTGAATTTTATGTAATTTTTATGTCACACGAATTGTTCTTTTGATTGTTTTCAATCATGTAAAATTTTTAAAACCATTCTTAGCTCAGGGGGCATACAAAAACCGGCAGTAGGCCAGATTTGGCCCACAGGCTATACTTTGCCAAGTCCTGTTCTACGTCCATATGTATTGATTTTTCTCTGGTCTGGAAAGGTGACAAGGAAGCTTGATTTTGGTAATGAATGAATCCTTTACCTTTTACTGTTAACTAACTTTAAAAGACATATGGGAGAAATGGTTAAAATGGTAAATTTTATGTTATGTATATTTTACCACAAATTAAAAAGAAAAAAAGACACATGTAGGGGGAAATTCATGCACATACATTTGGATCTTTAATAAGACTTAAAAAAAATGCTTTAAAAAGAAATTCAGTGTGTACTACATACAGAACATAGTGCCTGCCCTGGAACTGGCCCATGGTTTGTTCAGCTCTGCCGATGTCGCTTGGAACAAACTGTTGAGAGATCTGTTTCTCAGAGGAAAGCCCAGGCAGCAGGTGGCACCAGCCCTGCGACTCAGAAAAACAGAAGAAAACAAACTTCTGTCGCTTGCCTAAACAGTTGAATTTTATTTCCATGGTTCTATCATCATTTTAAAAGTGTCCTTTAAAAAACAACAGTGTGCTTAGCATGGCTGATTGTTTTGTTTTAATTAAAACATTTTTGAAAAAACAAAATGAAATATTTAAACATACCAAGTTGATTGTGTTTGTACTGTGGAACAGTTAATGCAAAACACTTGAGAGAGCCCGGAAGTTTGGATCTGTAGCTTTTGTCTGGGTTTTTGCCTCCTGAT